TACTGTTTAGAAATCCCACTTTAAACACCTCACTAAATCACAGCCTAGACATCATCACGGTAAGTAGATCAATCAGTATAATGACTTGGAATCACTGATAAATCTTGTTTATAGGTTCATAATAACGATAATGAACTTAAACATAAGTTATACGTAAAGTATGATAAGCATAACTCAACTTACAGGGGGTTTAGCGAGGAACCAGGCTCTGCAGGGCAGAACTTCCGATCCGAAAGCTCTTCTTCTAGGAGCCTTCAGGTGCTCCGGGGCTTTCCTTTAGCATCTTGAGGTTACTAGGGCTTTGGGAGGGTTTTGGGAGGCTTAGAGAGAAGTTGGAGAGAGAAGTGAAAGGGTTTCGGTGTGAGAAATGAAGGCACCCTCGCATGCTATTTATAGGCTGAAGTTTGGACCTACTCGACGAGTTTTGGTCTCCAACTCGTCGATTTGGTGCCACATGTCACCCTCCGGTGGCAAGGCTTGAGGAGAATGCAATGGCTCAGATCGCGACACGTCACCCACTTCGCAGCAGCACCCTTCCGACTTTTAAACTCTATAGCTTTTGCATACGAGCTCCGTTTTCAAAGTTCTTTATATCCACGCGTAGGTATTGAAAAGATATACAACTCTCCTTTTGACTCCATCGGCTAATTCTCGACCAATTTTAAATTTAACAGTATGAGAAGATTATATTGTTAACGACCGTGTAATATTAATAAATTCTACATACGGACTCTGTTTTCTACTGTCTTTTTATCGTTGAAATCCTATTAATGAGATCTTCAATTCTCATTTAGTTTGTGTCGGCTAAAAATCGCTCGAGCTAAAATTCGATTTCCGGGCTGTATACTGGTATGCAAAATCTTAGAAAAATCATAACTTCCTCAAACGAACTCAGATTTTGACGTTCTTTTTATGCACGCTCTCGGTTTAACGTATACTACAAATTTCATTTAGATCTATAAGGCTAAAATGTAATTTATCAAAAATTCACTTTTTATGATTCCCGATGTCGTGCCGGTTTTACCGTAAAACTTCGACGGGTCATAACTTCTTCGTTATAACTCAGATTTCGGTGTTCTTTATATGTACGGAACCCTTGTGACATATACTATAACTTGGTTAAGATTGATACTCTAAATAATATTCTATCAAAAAGTCATTTTTGACGCTTATTGTCTCTAAATTGACTAGCCCGAATCTGCAGGCGTTACATGTGACCCCCGAACTGACCGACTGCCAACTCAGCCCAAAAGGGACCGCATACGATCATCCATCGACTTGATCATCCCCTCGTTGATCGTACCGAACATGTTATGTGTCTCCTCCAATATGGCTTGAGAAATCTCTGTTACAATGAACTCACGTAGCTCAACATCACTCGATCCAATACATGAGCCTGAACCAAAACCAGAACCAGAACCACCTCCATGACGGGTCACCATCACTATTCTGAAAAAACAACAAATAGGTCAAAATTATCTCAAAGTGTATTACACACTATAAGTTCCTCATAATCTGTGCGACTTTCCTTGATCCGAGTACGAATTCTGTGCATCCAGAAGTACAGGACCATACTACCTTCCTTGATCCGAGTACGAATTCTGTGCATCCAGTAGGCGTTCGAATAAATGTCTCTACCATAAGGCCTTCATCAAACAAGAACATTCAATAAGGCTGAACTAAGAATTCTAAGGCTATCTAGTCTTAATCATGTACCGCCCTGGTGCATTCATCAAATAATTTCCAGTATCAATATAAACCCAAAAACACCTACCCATCATCACATAGAAGTCATATAAATGCATATCTCCTAGGCAAGCATCCTATCATGTAATCCCTAGTAGATCCTTAGCCTATTACTAGCATGCAACTCATATCATAACATACTTAAACATAACATTCATATATGGGTATTCTGGGAATTACTTACTTGAGCTCGGTTGATTGTATGCATCACACCCCTTTTATTTTTACAAAACCTATTTAGAAAATCATTTTCTTGTAAAATATTTTATCTATCCTCAGTTTGAGTCCATAGACACTATAGAGTGCGCCTGAATACCTCAAACCAAGGCTCTGATACCAACTTGTAACGTTCCAAAATACTAAGTAAAATTTTCATTTTTAAGTAAAACAAACCATTCATTTAACTTCAACAAGAGATCATCATAGTATCAAGAGTAGTTTCAAATCAAACATCAGAGTATCATAAAACAAAATTGCGGAATCTACGGTGGATGCAACACAATCAAGCCTGGCTTTTCGTCTTGTCACAAGAAATACTTGAGAAATTTAAACTTATAATCGTAAGCACAAAGCTTAGTGAGTTCCCCAAAATACCACATACAACCATACATAAGGTGACATATCTATTTCAACCCCAAATGAATGTTATGGGTCAAATCATAGTCTTACAATCACATCCTGCAAGAGGCCATATCCTGGTCTTCCATACGATTGTCAGGGGCTAAATCCTGGTCTTTCATACAACTGTCAGGGACCAAATCAAAGACTTTCATAAAATCCATACAATAGTCACAAAGACAACTAGCATCACATATCCTACATAGTATAGTGAGAAGACTAACCTCACAATCAAATAGACCACATGATTGCTTGCAGGACGTAAGGCTGGTACTACACACCACCTAATAGTAATCAAAAGGTCAAACCTCAGTCTACCATCGAAAACTATTAAGTTGACCAAAAGTCAACCTAGTTAAAAAATAAACGGTCAAAGGTCAAAGTCAACTCTTAAGACCACCACGTTGTGGCCAAAACCTTGACCACGTCGTGGTCTATCTCAAGGTAGATTGCGATGGATTTGACCATCACGTCGTGGCCAAAACCTTAACCTTGTCGTGGTGCGGCTCAAGGCAGATCATGATGGATTTGACCACCACGCCTTGGCAACACTACCAAATCCAAAACTCCATTAAGCCCTTAATGCGTTAAGCCAACTACTCTAACTTTCCATAAGGCTTCCTTGCATCCAAATGAGTCATAAAAATTTTAACTTTATGGACATGCATGTCCAATACATGTCCCACCCTTACTTATGTGAAAAGGATGATAAATGGGGTATAAATCCCATGCATGGCTCCTAATCAACATAAAAGTCCAGATCTGAATTAAATAATGAACTTGGGACTTCATTGATTTATAAAGTTGCAAAATTTATCAAAACGAGTCACTAAAATCTTCCCAACATGAAGAACAAGACTCAAAAACCTAGATCTAGAAGGGACAACTTCAAAGATGACGGTTTGAGGGACTTACAAAGATCCAAAATGTACACAAATAGTTGGAGATGAGCTTGCTGGGTGGTTCTTTGCTCTATAACACCTTCATTCCCCCTTCAAAGGCCACAAATCACCAAAATGAGCACCAAATGATCATAAGAGGCTAGGTTTTGCTTAGGAGTTCTTCTAGAGCAATGGGGGCTGATGGTGGATGAAACCCCAACCCTCATATCCTTAATATATGGTCCAAAGTCCGAAACTTAGGGTTTTATTCGGAGGGCAGCGCCATGTCATGGTAAACTAATCACCACACCGTGGTGAGGTGGCACTATCACGCCATGCTGCTCTACACACCACGCCGAGGTAAGGTCAAAATCCACAAAATCAAATTGAAGACACACAAGAATTTTTAAAGAATGAAACCTGAAGCTCCGGATGTTAAAGTATCGCAACCACCAGACTATTTTTTATCAAGTTAATTTTATTGAGAAATGTTCGCTTACATATCTATGGAATAGTTTTAAAAACTTATTCGTCTTGTTGTAATAAAATATGAAAACGATAATCAGAACACTAAATGTGTTGAATTTTTTAAAAAGAAAAAGGAAAATCTAATAAAAATATTATTATTTTTGTTTAATATTACCTAAAATTAAGTTTTAGAAATGGTCATAATTATACAAGTTATTTTGGGTGTGTTCGACATATATCATTTACGAGCTTTCTACTTTTTAGATTTAAAAAAAAAACTCAAAAAAATTAAAAAAAATTCCGTTCGTCAGTAGAATCTTCTAGCTTTTACTATAAAAAAGTCAAAATCTAAAACCATTTCAAGTAGCAATTAACAAAAAAACTCTTTTATAATTTTACAGATCGACTTAATTGCCATTTTTTAAAATAAATGATGTGTTTTATAGTTTTAGATAATTTTTTTATTTATGTCATTATATATGTTTTAAAAGATTCCAATTAATTTTGCCAAACACTTGTATACAAATAAAATCTACTGCTTCTAACTACCGGCTAACAACTAATTTTGTAGTCGCTTGTAATCATGTAAATGTTAAAATGATATTGTTTTGATTTTTTTTACAAATTGAAAAAAAAAACTTTACCAAAGGACTTCTAGCCCAACGATATTAGATGTCGCCCTCCCTGCTTAATGTTGGGATTCAAGTCTGTCGTAAACATAAATCAAAATAAAAAATAGATTAGATTGCCATTAAAAAAAATTAATATTATTTAATAAATTTATTAGGCTGAAGGGTGTGGGCGCGGTCCCAGACCGCAATTGGTGCCACGTCAACCAAGAACACCGCCCCCAGACCGCGGTCTGGTGCGGTCTTGGCCGCAGTGCCGCTAGGGAATACCGCGGTTTTTGATTGGTCCTTGGGTTTTGACTACTTTTGACCGTTGAATGGTCTTTGTGGTTAATTTCTTTTTTTTTTTTTTTTTTTTAAACTTTACTACACTTGTGTGGCACCATCCATTTGGTGTGGCAAAAAACCACACTTGTATGATATAATTTGACATGACGCTTATGTGGCGGGGAAGGGAGTACGGTTTCGGTGGCACCACTCCCTCCAGCCTTATTTCTCTAATTTAATCGGTGAAGTACTTGATACAATGATTATAAGAAAAAAAAAAAAGGAAAACCTATAAACCAAGCGTGCGATTCACACGTAGTCAAAACACACACACACAAACACAGAGGTCTATTTGCACGCGCTGGGGGTTAAACATTGATTGTCAATTCCTTCGTCTATTTATTCTCTCTCTTCCCCCGTGCACTCTCTCTCCACCTTTCTCTTTTTCTCTCTCCCGTTCTTCTTCCCGTGCTCTGCCTTTTATTAATCTCATTGTCTGCCTTCTTTCTGGGTTTTTCAGATTACAAGATTGCTGATTTGAGTTTCGATTCTTGCAAAGGTAATTTCTCTCCAATTTCGGTTCTCATGATCAACATTCACTCTGTGTTTTGGTATTGTTCCTATCTGAGTGGTTTCTCGGTTTTGAATTTGATCTGATTTTGGGACTTGAGATTCATTACTTCATGTTTAAGTATCCCGATTTACTGTTTTCAGATGAACATTCTCTACTTGAATAATGTTTTTTCGTATATTCTACATAAATTTTTTCTGATTCTCTCTATTTGGTTTCTGGGTTTTGGTGGTATTGGGGTTTCTTAATCCCCTGCATTTTCTGTTTCTAAATGGTTTATTGTGTGTTCTACAATCCTTTATGATCACCAAACGAGGATTCATTGCGTATGTGTAAAGTGAAGGGCATTTTCCTCCTTTTAAAACACTCGATACATCTATTTTTAATAGAAATCCGAGCTTAATTCTTTTAATCGAGTTCAAACTCCCTACTTTTTATGTGAAACTATGCAGTAAAAAGTTATTATTCTGTTGAAATCCAACTTACACATGCTACCAATTCCTCAAAAACACAACCTTTTTGCATCAAATCACTTCATTGGGAGTAGTTCTCAATCTTCTAAAAGTCTATTTCGATTATTTATAGCTAATATACTTTGCTAATTGTTTAATATTGTTATATTAAACAAGAAAATCAAAAAGTTAGAGTGGCACAAGGAAAAAGTGTGACCAAAATGGAACAAATCACAAAGTATATTGTTATCGTTCTATAGAATTGGTAACTTCAATTTTGATATAAATGTGAAATTACCTATCTGTTCTCGGTGTTCATAAAATCATGAAACTTCGTGTTCATATTCTCGTAATCTAATATGCATCTACTTATGTTTCTACAGTTGCTTTGAAACAACGAAAAGAAAGCCCTCATCACAACGAGCATGCGGTGGTATAGCTTATCAGTAGATGTTTATCGCAAAATCATCTCTCTCAACCTCTATTGTCGTGTGATTCTGTAAAGCCTATCGAAGCCCTGTTAAATTACCTTATTACCCCTCCCAATTTCTCGCTTTTAGCAATCATTTTCAAACTTTCATCCATGGGAACCAATCTATTTGTTGTCATCCCTTGCTACTGTCGCTGGATTAGTTGAATCAAAACCCAAAACCCGTTCTAATTTCAATTAAAAATCGTATTTTTTTTAGAATCTTTCTTGGGTTATTTTCTTGGATTGCTTATCAAGATCTTTAAGGGAGTTAAACTGAATATAAGAGTAGGTAAAAAGTAGTTATGGTGTGTCAATCAGCTGGACAAACAAGATTTCGGGCTTTGAAACACGAAAATGGAACAGCTGGGAGCGCCACCATAATTGTTAAAGTTATAGCATGCTTTCAACCTCTAGATGATTGTCAGGTTCGTTGTAATTGTTACTTTCATTTATTATTTAGTATTATTAAATGCAAGAACTCGCATCCTACTTTCATTCTTTTATTACAAGTATTATATATATATAAAAAAAAACCCTACCCAATTATAGTAACACCATTCAAATATAAAGCAATAATTGGGTAGAGTTTTCAAACTACGAATACGATGATGTAATTAGACAAATCTATCGAATTATATTAATTTCATCCACATACAAACTGAGTTTTAATATTTTATCGCCTTAATTGGTTACGTTTTTCAAACTATAGTATAATGTCCTAATAGGGACAAATTTAAAGTGCAATACTATAATTGAGTAGATTTTTCAATGTACACAATTATAGTAATATCATCAAAATCCTTGCATTTAGCGTTTATCATCATTAATATTATAATCAATCTTTATTCAAAGAATCGGATTCTTTACAACTTTTTTGATGTTCATTCTTGTCTTTGAATCACATTCGCTTTACAATATGTTTTTATGTTTTATGAGTTAGACAATATGAATCTAATACTGTTCTTTTTGTGGGGTTGCTTTCTTTTTTTCAGGCTGAATACTTCCGCCATTTGCTTAAGCCTGTAACGTAGTTCTTTTTTTTATTTTCGTGATCAAATTAAGCTGTGGACTCTTTAGTTTTCATCTCTTTTAGAAGTTTTCAGAAATCTTTACACATATTCAAGTCATCATTCAACATCCCGTAAGTCTCCTGATGTTCAAGTTTGTATCTTTTTCATCCAAATGGAATCTTTATCATCAAAAACACATTTTTTCAGGTGATTAATGGAAAAGGGTTTTGAATCTTGGTTTCAAAACCAGAAAATCGATTGGCAATCATCCAATCAGATTCCACCGAGTGTCCCATTTGGTTCTGGGCCTCGAGCTACAATCCCATGTTTTGGGAACACCGTGCGTCAAGAACCATGTGGTTGGTTTTACGGTTTGCCACGTCATCGCCAGGGTGTCAATGTCATCCCTGTGGTTAACAACAAAGAACAACTTCAAGTTTCAACTACTATCCCCGATGTGGGTCACACCACAAATGGTGGACAAAAGAAGTTTCTTGTGTTTGATCAATCCGGTGATCAAACAACTTTGATTTATAGTTCGGGAGTGGGACCCGCTCCTATTCGATACCAATTCCCGTTGTCAAATAACCCGAAACCACAATCCGGGTCAAACCCGGTTCGTATTAAAGAAAATGATTCAAAAAGTGAGATGAGGGAGGATACTGAAGAGCTTAACGCTTTGTTGTACTCTGATGATGATGATGATGAAAATGATTATTCTGAGGAGACGAGTACAGGGCATTCCCCTAGTTCAATGATGTTTCTTGAACAAAAAGGGCAAAATGGGAATGGAAAAGAAGAGGAAGTTGCGAGTTCTGGGGGAGATGGGAAAAAGCGTAAACGGGAGGATGGGGGTAGTATTGTAAATGCACTCGAGGACACTGCAAGCTCGGGGGAATCTGGGGTTGGGAATGAGGGAATTGGAGTGTTTGAGGAACAATTGGATAATTTGTTGTTGAGTAATAAGAAATTGAGGAAAGATAAGATGAAGGAGACTATAAATTTGCTTCAGAATTTGATTCCTGGTGATAAAAATGGAAAGAGTGCTGTAATGGTTATTGATGAAGCTATCGGTTATTTGAGAAGTTTGAAGGAGAAAGCTAAAGCTTTGGGGCTTGATTCTCTTTAAAAGATGTTCAAGATTTTTTTGTACTTTATGCTTATTATGTGGTACAATTGATGGTAACTTGATTGGAAGGAGAATTTGGTAATCTTGACGTGGGGTTGTAATGAAGATCCAGAATTGGGCATAAAGTTGTTAGCTTTTGTGAAGATAAAGTTTGGAGCTTGAAGTCGTTTCTTGAATCATAAGATCGTGTATCGATACTAGTGTGTGTGTTTTATGGGTTTGTATGTGTTAGGAGAATTTGGTAATTTTGTTGTGGGGTTGTGATAAAAAGCAAGAATTGACATAAAGCATGGAACCTTTCAACGCATCTTCAGGTGGGAATGATGGATGATGATCATTTTAGGAAGGTAGTGTGTGTTTGTATGTTTAAGGAGAATTTGGTAATTTTGATATGCGGTTGTGAAGAAAAGCAAGAATTGGTCATAAAGATGTTTGTTTTGTGAAGGTAAAGTTTGGAACCCGTGAAGGCAATCAAGTGGCGTCTTGAATTATGGTTTATGATCATTTAGGGAAACTTTTGTGTGCTTTTTTTAGGGAGAATTTGGTAATTTTAATGTGGGGGTTGTGATGAAGATCAAGATTTGGGCATAAAGTTGAAATCTTTGTGAAGAGAAAGTTTGAAAACAATCAAGGCATCCGTGAGTGGTTCCTTGATTGACGGATGGTGATTTTCTACGAAAGCTACTGCCTAGTGCCTACAGTGTTGGGGATAATTTGGTAATTTTGATATGGGGTTGTACTGTGTTAGGGATAATGTGGTAATTTTGATGTGGGGTTGGGATGAAGACCAAGAATAGGGCATAAACATAAAGTTGAAAGTTTTGTGAAGAGAAAGTTTTACAACCCATCAAACCATGCTCAAGTGTTTTCGTGAATGATGGATAATCATCATACATGTGAACCACCGTGTGTTCTTTTGTGTGTGCAGGGGCAATTTAGTAAGTTCACATGTGGGGTTAGGGTGAAGGTCAAGGATTGGATAAAAAGGTTGAAAGCTTGGTGTGTCTTGAGTGGGACCCAATAGTGATTATGTCTTGTTTTCTTGTTGGGTATTTGGTAATTTTACTGTTGAAACTTGTGTTCTTGTCTTTCCTACCCTGTGAACATCAACGGAGGACCACCGCCACCATGAACCACCACTGTCGGCGGTCTGTAATGATGGTTTGAAGAAGTCAATGTACCCAAATAGTGTGTTTTTTTTTCTCGTTTATTTTATCATGTAATTTCACATTTTATATATGTAAATATATGTATCAAATCAATTGTGTGTTTTTTTGCATGATCTTGGTCCATATGTGTTGCATTTTTCAATTAACCTTGATTTTGTGTTCGATATTATTATCTCATATTAAATCGAGTAAATTTCATTTTTGGCCCCTGAGGACAATTGATTATTGCAATTTTATCCTAAAACGTATTCCCTTAACAATTTTATTCCACTCTTGGGGTTCCCCTAATGTTCTTAGGTTCTTGTTCCAAGCAGATTTGTATAGTTGACTTTTGCAAAGTTAATCCAAAAGTATAGTAATGTTCATGGAACTTGGACAAAGAACACTATAAAAAACTTAATAACGACAAAAATTGCAAGAGAGAATATTTTGGGACCAAAAATGAAAAAAAAAGGGTTATGTTCAAGGACCAAAATATTTTACTCTATTAAATTTGTTTCATCATATTTAACTTATTTGAACCGACTGTGTCATTTCATTTTAACCATTGGATGTATGTGAATGGCTTTTTATATGCCCATTTTCAAACATGTGGGGTTGTCCTCCCCTCTTCAAACACTTATAACAAAGTCATTCGATCATACAAAAGTTTGCCTCGCCTTCATATTATTTCTTGTGTTGTCACATCTATTTGTTTGTTTTTAGTATGTCTTAGGGTAGCAATTCTGTGTTGGATCCAGGTTGACCCCATGGAAAAAATTGGAAATCGAGCTTGACATGATTTATTAATGCTATCAAATTGTTGGTCTCAAACATGATAGACATAACCCAACTTTTAGCTTAAAGAATTTTGGTTCTCAATTATTTGGGAATAAAATTTGTAGGGTTTTGGTATTTGTTAAAGAAAATTGAACATCATTTTGATTTCTCAAGCTTTATTAGGATCCTCCTATCAATGTTTATATGTTTTCAGTCAATTACATAAGAAGATCTTATTGTTTTTCAACTTTTGGGTACATTGAAATGATACAAGTTAACATAGTTAGCTCCTTAAAAACATATGCTAAATGAGCACTTGATGTCATGATTTATTATGGAGTATGGACTATAGAACAAAGAGGGTTATAAACATGCTAATTATGTTAGGAGCAAAATAGATGATGATACCCAATTCTTCATAGTGTCTCTCTGTACTACTACATGGTGCATCTAGTATCATTCACATACAAAAAATAAATGCTTCAACTTACTCTTGGGTGTTGTCCGAGAAATGCATTCCAACGATCAATTTAGATGATGTTATAAATAGAAGTATGAGACTGTGAATATACGAGAAAAGTATTGTTGATATCTTTAATTGTGACGTATGGAACATATTTATAGTGGATCATGTGTATTGCATTGGTCATGAGAGCAAAGTGACTAAAAGAGTCGCTCTTTCTGGTCACAAGCCAAATTGCTACTTGATTTGCATCACATAGATGAGAAAGTATAGCTTGAGTTCAATATTCAACCCTTTTTGTAACACCCGTTTTACCGATCTGATCAATTGAAGACCTAAGGATCCTAAAGATATTATTTTGGAGAAAATCTTTAGCCACGAGTTGGTAGGATGATTACCACGTCGTGGCCACATCAATTAAATGAAGAACGCGTATGAATGGTCACCACAGAGTGGTAAGGTATTCACCACGTCGTGGTAAATGCTGCGGCCCAAACCCATGAAGTTTAGGGCTTCCTCCATATTTAAGGGCTTGATCTGCAGGTTTAGGTCATTCTCTTCATCCTCCATCATCCCAATTCAAAACCCTAGTCCACACTTGAGTATTCTTGGTTTTTGTATGGTGTTCTTGATGTTTTTAGCCTTAGAGTGCAACTTGAGAGAAGAAGGTGGAGAGCTTGTTGATTGAAGGGTTGTTTCTATTTCAGATCTTGCATCTCCCGCATCTTGTGGAGCTTTATAAGGTATAAAGCTTCCACCTTTATCATTCATATTTCTCATTAAATGCTTTGAGGTCCTTTTGAATCCTTTAGAGGGATATTCTTGGAGTTTTGAGCAAACTCCAAAATCTAAGACTTGCTTGGTCACTATTTATGGACTTGATCTGATGAAAAAAGTGTTAGGTATTGGTTCCCTTTGAATCATGCACAAAGTTTTTGTCATTATGAGATCTTAATGGACTTAGGGTTTAAGATCTTGAATTATGGTGATGTCTTATTGCTTAAAGTTGGAAACTTTATCCAATAAGTCATACAGAATAACCAGATCTGAAGTTACGAGCCTTGATCTATAAGGATTAAACTCTTACTGAAGAAAATGTCATGTTGAACGAAACCACGACATGGCCAAGGAAGTCCCATGGTGTGGTGGTGTTCTGCAACACGTCTGTTTTGTCTGGATTTGGCCACAACACGGCCAAGGACTCGACACGAAGTGGTGACCATTGACTTTTGTTGACCATTGACCAGTTTGACCTTGGGTCAAACTTGAAGGATTTGGGTTGTAGTTTGAGGTTGATCCTATATTGGTGTTAGACTGTTCACAGGTCTTATCGATACAAGGAGTTGAGAGTGTTCTTGTGTTTCTCTGGTTTTGCAATTCAAGTGAGTCTTCTCACTATACCATGTGTGACTTTGTATATCATTTGTATGATAGGATGGAGGTAATGTTAGAGTACAGGTATGATATTTGACTAGGATAACTCCTTTTTATGTATGTGTAGTATAGTATACTTGGTGTCATGGTATGTTAGATTAGTAGGGTCTTGCATGTGGATTGTATGATATCGTTAGGGTGATAATAATATTGATTGATCGTTGAGTGGACACCTTAGGGGTAGTATGTAGTTTAAATTAGATAGCCTGAGAAATATTGGTCCAAAGCCTTATTGCATGGTTCTTGTTTGATTTATTTCTCTTAGGTAGGATCATATGTTCGACTGTCTATCTGATCTCTGACTACATATGCCTAGTTATTCATAAGGTGGTCATCAATATTAGCATCAACCCTGGTATCGATATTATTCTGGCTATAGGCCGATGATCGCAAGGTGATTGGGAGCCGGTAGTAGTTGACGGTTGAGAGCTGGTAGTAGTGGTGGCTGAGAGCCAGTAGTAGTGTAGTGGTAGAGTGCCGGTGTATGATATGTATGGTTTTTATGTATGCATATTGATAGGATAATTAGCAGGTCGGCACTAGAGTCGAGCACTTGTGTGTATGCATTGTATGTATGGTGGAATGTGTGGTATATTGGGGAAATCACTAAGCTTTATGCTTACAGTTGTGGTTTAAATGTTTTTGTAGATGTTTCGAGGTTCATGATAGGGATGTCCGCGACATCATCGCTATAGAGGTTTTGAGGTTCATGATAGAAGATTCACTTGGTATGATCAACACAGTTAAGGATGATTTGTTGTTAGTGATGGATGAGCACTTTAGGATTATACGAGCCGGATTGGAGGACAGTCGACCATGGGCTTGTAAGATCACCTTAAAGGAGTTTTATGCTTGTGGGGCTCCTCGGTTCATGGGAAGGAGGGAGCCTATCGTCATTATACATTGGATCGCTGAAATTGAGAGTTCCTTTCTCGCCAGCTTTTGTCTGACGGAGGCTAAGGTCAGGTTTGCAACGTGTCTCTACATGATGGAGCTAGGGATTGGTGGCCTGAGGTTGTTCGGAACTTCGAACCAGGTGCGGTCGAGTCTATGACCTAGGAGGATTTTGTTACCAGATTCAAGAAAGAGTTTGTGTCTGAGATATAGGTTCAACAGTTGGCTCGAGAGTATTTGGCACTTGAGCAGAATATAGATTCGGTGGTCGAGATCACTGC